TTTTACAGTATAATAACGTATTATTTTCAAGCTCAAACATATAGTCCACATGTTTAAACGTGAAACGAGTTATCCGAGTATTCTTTTTATAATAAAATAAAAAACTTAATAATAATTCTATAGTAGATTATACAAAAGTAACATATACTTATTAGATAATTATTTGAATTCTCTCATCAAAATTAAAATAAACCTTTAATATCAATTAATGAGATATAATGAATATTAGAACATTTTTTAATTTCGAGTATTGAATGTGTATTATTATATATATGTGTATTATTAATAATAACTGCGAAAATTATTCATGTGATAAAAAGCTCCTAGTTATTTTTGTTATGAAAAATGACGAGAGTTTCTAAGAATTTGTTGAACTAAAACACCCAGAACAAAAATGAAAAAGAAATACCAACTAAACAAACAAAACAATTCAATGGTACTTTTGTGCTGTGGCCATTTTTTAAAAAGGGTCTCTGTGTTGTGTGTATGTTTTGTTTGCTTTTATTGTGATGGCGGTGTTGAGTACTTCCTATGTTAAATAAAAGGTCTCAAAACGCCGGCGAAGGCAACGTTGACCTCGAAACGGTTTGCTGGAAATAATTTATGGACAAAGAACCATTTCTCCGGACACACAGCGTTTCGTCGACCCTCTAAATTATATTTGACTGCCAGAAATTGAATTCGACGGCACTGGTGTCGACGAATATTACAACGCATCTTACTGGATATGCATTCAAAAATACGTTTGTTTTAGAAGGAGATCCAAACCACTGTTGTCCGGTCATCACTGCCGTCATTGTCATCATGACATCCCCACATTGAACTGTGCAAAATACACCCGCGAGAGATACGTTAATTTCGTAGACTTCCAAGGATAAACCCTGGGGGCCGTTTAATAATGAGACTTGCCTAAACTCCTGCATAGAAACCTCGCAAATAGTGGTTTGTAAAGTCTTTACTTTAAATGTATACAAAAAGGTTACGTTTAATAATGACGATATAAAAGAAAATGGGTAAGAAACATCAAATACCGTTTATAATTGCTTTGTGCAAACAAGGTTTTGCAACATGCTTACAATACACTGTACAATTTGTCGACGGTTAATTATATAAGTAATTCAGCACTTCAAAAGTTGAAAGGAAAAAAAAATTTTAATTTATGTATTTAAATACATCGGCGGGGCTTAAAATGTAAAGTTTTGGAATTCAATATATGCACCGACAATGCTCTTCTATTACGAAAAAATTAATAATAAATTACAAGAAATGTAAATTTTGATCTTGTTGTTAAACGTCAATGTGCGCCGCAGGTAAATTTAGATTTAACTGAAAACTTTTCTGTAGGAATTTTTCAATGTTGTTCTATATATCTAAAAATAGCGCAATTTTCAGCAAAATGTATTGTTACGGAATTTAATACTATAGTACATCTTGGGTATTGTCTTTTAAAATAATTATAACAAATAAATGACCATATTAAGCAATATACAACAGAGATGAAAGAATAACAGGTATATATTAAAAATTGGTGTAATTAAAACAAATATTATATATACAACAGATATATGACGGTAAAGTTGTTTGAAACACATTTTTACAATTGCTGTTCAAGAGTAATTTTCAATTATTCTGAAACAATAAGACAATGACGTAATATTAATAGCTTTACTCTTCGCAAAAATTAAAAACAACGGTGAACTTTACCATTGCGTTTTTTATTTTCAAAAGATTTTTCGGATGTGTAAAACCACAATCCCTCTTAAACATTTTCATGCAAAAATTATTTCTTTACAATATTACATCAATTTAAAATAAAAATAATATTTTGAACCTCAAATAGTGAAACGCTTATTATTTATATTTTTTATTACAAAGTATATTTGCTCCTGTCTCTACTTTTAACTGATGTAGATATTTTTGGTGTTTTTTGACACGATAATATAAAATACGATACCTCAAGTCAAATTCTCTTGAGACTTGACTGACGAAATAAAAATCCTCCGTGCACACACTACTACCTTAGAGAATTTCACTGCAATAACAATAATCAGTTTATTTTTCACTTTCATGCCAATTTACGACGAGATGAAAATATTTACAAGCTTTGTATTTTAATCGTTCTAAACTTTTTATAATACACCAATAACAGCATTTTCATCATCATTTTAACTATGTAGAAATAACTTCATATTTTATAGAATTTTCAATTTTAGTTTTAATTTTTATGACATTAATACATTTAACTTAGCATTTTATTCTAACATTTCTTCTTTAATTTATTTAAAAAATAATAACTCACTATAATTTATTATTCGGTAAAAGGTTTGTTCAACAAATTTTAAAAAATATTTTTTCTACTTCAAAGTATTTTTTGAAATTTTACTAAAAAGAAAGTATTATTATGTTAAGTGTAGCGTGAAAGTCGAATATTATGTACACAATATTTATCAGTATAAACGTTTTGTCTCACTTAGACTGTAATAAAACTCCGTAATTATAAAAACGTATTCAAATAAAAGGAATACTCATAATTTATGGGTATTTTGAATTTCAATCTTTATGCACTTTTTTTAATTATAAATTAACGCGAAGTCAATACCAAGAAGAAATAATTTATAACACACAGTTCCCGAGAGATTCTAAGGTATTCATTAAGCAATGCCGAATTTCAGATTTATTGTTATTGTAAAGGGATTATCAAAGTTATTTCATGAACACGTCTGTGGTTTATTGTTATATTATTCTGAGCGCCATAAATTTTCAGGAAATTGCCAGTAAATATCTGTATAGACAATGAGATAGACACCACAATGAATTTATTTCTCAAAAACTGTTTTATTTTGACAGGATCATCAACTCATACCGATAATTAGATAAAAATTAGTTATTCAACCAAACCAAACATTTAAGAAATTACTAAATAACACACAATTTTAATTTTCATTGCGCCAACTTAATATATATTACTTTAAGTAATGTTATTTGTATGATTGAAGTGATTTAATTCTTTAGACGTCAAAGTTCTTTGTTCGTAATTACTAATAGTTTTCGTTCCATAGAATTTGGAATGAGTCTTTTGGAATTACAAAAATCGCATTTACAAATTTTTTTTTGTAATTTAGATTTTTTTTTGATAGATTTACTTATAACTAATAAGGAAAAATAAAAATTGTTTGTACATACATTATTTTGGAACCAGACACGTCAAATATGAATCTCTAGAGTTTAATATTTTATAATTATTATTATACTCACTTATGCCTTATAATTTAATTATTATAACTTCAAGATCTTGAAATTATTCAAATTTTTCTCAATGATAGTAATAAACATTATTATTTTGTTTGTTTGCTATCTTTGTAAAAATAATTTAGTAAATTTTTCATGATATGAATTTAAAAAATCTTTAGATACCTAACATATTAAGTATTTGCGCAAGTAGAATAACTACAAACAAAGCATAAAGTAAATTATTACACATAAGCATTTAAAAAAAAATTTTATTCTCAATGTAGTTTTTTTTTAGTCAGCTGAATTTCTTAAAACCTATCACTCTTGCCATTTTATCACGCATACTTTGTCTTTAATGATTTTAGTCTACTAAAAACAATTTAAAACAACTTTTATTAAATAACAGTTGTTTACACTTATAAATTTTATATGTATCATGATGTTTTCGCACGAATAACAAGTTATTTTTGATAAAAAAGGAAGCAAAATAATTTAATTTTTCATACTAAGTGCAACTTTAATTGTAATAACGAGGTAGAGCATCCATCAACTTGAAACTTAAGATAAATGAACAACAGTACAATAAAAAAGTGTACCATTATTATTCTCGTGATAGTCAAAATAAATGGAAAGCTGAACGATTACGTTGCCCATAAAATGACCGTGAAAACTACTATAAGATATTACCGTTAAAATAATAAAAATTAAGTCATCTTCATATTGTTATATTTTACAGAATATTTTATTATTTTTCATTCAAACTAAGTTCACTTTACTCTTTGTTTAATCGACTCCTTAAAACTACTTATGTTTTAATGATTGCCAAATTGTTCAAAAAACTAAAATTTCACAGCAACACTTTCGATTAGCTCGTTACAAAGTGTTCATGAAGAATAATTAATATTCAGCTTGCTATTTTAACAGAATAACTACAAATTGCCTGATTAAAATGTCAATTAGATATTGGACGTTTAATTAAAAATTTCTATTTTTAATTTTATTTATTACTCATAAAAGTTCTACATTAAAGTAAAATATCTATGTAAATTTATCACGAACATTTTCTTATTGATTATAAGCTGTCTTGTAGTCAGTAGTTGCGAAGAAAAATTATATTTGTTTTATTTCTGACTGTAACACCATATAGTATTTAAGTTTTTCAACGTAACTATAAACTTAGTAATGTCCATTTGTAAGATCACGAAATTTAGTCCATTTCAATTAATAGTTGTTAAAAACGAACACTTTAAATATATTTTTTTTAAATCGTATTTGCAGAACACAGAGTTCCTCCTTTTAAACGTATACTTGAAATAAAATTGATTGACTGAATTAACACACAAAGTATTCACTACTTTTCGATTAAAGTACGTTTTTAGATTACAACTATATTTTTCAATTTATTTAAAGTAAATATTAAATTAATTTTCGTTTGTACTCACATTTATTAAAAAAATTGTTTTTTGATAAATAAAGTGTTATGTACTTAAAAAAATAATAAATTTAAACGAGGAAAACTTTTGAAATACTGCAAAATGTATTTAGGTGTATTTAACTCATACAACAGATATTACACCAGTCTGCTTTACCTGGATTAGTGCAAAACAACTGATAAGTGGAATTGGACTGTAAAATAAATGTTACGTTTTTGTTTTATTTCCTTTGCTACTATACAGGGAAATAGAGTGTAAAGCTTTATTAGTTTGGAATGGAAATACCTTTTACTGAATTCGCTGTTGTTTAAATTTTATTGTTTTTGTTTGTTACAGGAAAGGATAAAATGAGACCCCTGTAGGTGGTATTACAGGCAGTGATGCTGTTTTTTGCATTTATAATTTGCGTAACAGCCATTACCACTGCTTCATCGAGAATAGGTAAGTCCGGAAACAAATTTTATGTTTTTTGTAAATAGCTTCAATATTTATATAACTTGATATTTTTTTTAACGTTAATATATGTTATCTGCAATAAATGATACAATTTAAAATTATCTCTAAATTTTTCATTTTCAATCAAAATATTATGTAACCTAACTAAAAGCAGACATTTTTAAAAATGATACCATCGACATAAATTTTAAATTTATTTTAAAAAATAACTGAAAATTCAATTGATCAACTGTCATATAAATAATTTTAATAAATTAATGCTCAATTAATATTCTATTACATACTCTTGTAGATATACTTATTACTGAAATTATATCCTAATGTAAATCATGTTATATTATATTATATCATCGGTGACGTTTGTCATCTGTTAGTGAAATTACAATTTTTCATCTCGGAGTTAAGTGACAGAAATGACATAGTAGGGTAACTACAGTCACGGCTGCCACGAATTGCATGAAATAACCTTATGACCAAATAAAAATAATAATTTTATGCTTCTGACAAATACAAATAAAAATTCGTTTTAGCTCAGTAGGTGAATAATTTTATCTCATTTTTATGCGGTTATTCTAAATTGTTATTTTTTAAGTGTTTTCCAATTAACAGAAAAAAAATAAAACTTACATACACTCTACAAATTATATTATTTTTGATACTCTCACGGTATTAATAACTCACAAACAAGAAAATTAGAGTTCAAAAAGGTTAAACATTCCATTTCTAAAATTAACCGTATCAACAGATTTGCTAACTATATAAAATGGATTAGCTGTTAAAATTTCTCTGTATGTTTAACAAAAGTAAATGATAAAATTTACATATTTGTAAATTATTTTTTTTATTACTAGTGTGTAGTTATCCTTTATAAACGCCAGTTTATTATTTAACCTTTAAAAATTATCTATACAATTAAGTTTATTCTTCAATAATCACTAAAAATAACAAAATGCCATATTGTTTTTGTAGTGTAATTCATGAAAATGATATACTATTTACTTAATATACATATATATATATATATAATATATATTGTCACAAAGAGTACCGTGACTATTTTTTTTATACTATTATTACTATGTTAAAAAGAATAATATAATATAATTAGAAAAAAATTTCGAGTATATCATAAACAAAATAAGATAAGTATACGGTTTTGATAGAAATTAATTAATTGATATGATGCATAATAATCGAATTAAACCTTAAACACTCAATAAAAACCAATACCTTATTTAACTTAGATTTAAAACACATTTTTTATTTAACAGCCTCGCAAATATTACTTTAAAGTGACACAAATAAATAATAAATATTTGTCAGATGTTTTGGAAGTGAAAAATAATAACTACTTAAAAATTGATCAAGTTTCATTCATTCAATTACAACATAAGCTCAAAATTAATTTTTGAAGATATGACTCTCACTTTGTGCCACTTTTGTTATTAAATTTACAGTTTTCAGGTCAAAAGGCTTAACTAGTGAAGTTTATTCGTGCTGTTTTTACTGAATTTAAGTCTAAATAACTTTTACGGGAAATCTTTTAGACGCCTTACTTTACTTTCCAGAAGTCAATACAGGCCCTTGAGTCTCATACGCGTCTTGTATACTGAATCAACACAACATATTAAGTGCATTAGACACTTCAAGTTTGACAAATTTTTGAGTGATACTTTTATTGAGTGAAAGTTCTCAGCATACATTATACGTGAATCGAATTCTTATATTATTCTTATAGAAACTTATTCAACTTTTTTTATTGAATTAATACTGAACATGTTATTAACAATCGTTTTTGTTTTTTAACTAATATTTTAATATTTTCAAAGTAACTTTGTACAATATTTGTCTTTGGGAATACATGTTACTAATATAATTCGACATCGAAACAATTTACCTAAATTATATCATTTTTAAACTTGTTAGTATACAGCGTTATCATTTATTTCTGTGAAAATATAGTTCACGCGGCGTATTGGATATGCAAAACTCATACATATGTGCGTTGCTTCCGGAAAAAAATCACTTAAAATATTTTTCACGTGTGAATAATTTTGCTTCAAATGTACTTGACAACGTAATATAATAATAGCAATTTTTATATACGTCAGATATTTTGCTTAGAACATAAGAAATTTCAATTCCGTAAAAGTGGTTTGGTTAAATAGTTTTACTATTTCTATCAAGTTGAGTACTAAAATTACCATTAATGTATTTTACGAGGGCCTCAAAATTTTTAGTGATTTTGTGACTATATTTTTGTTTAACGTCTTTTTAGGAATTTTATATAACTTTCACTCATATATTTTTCTAAATAGGAGCCAAACTTTTAGTTCGCACCTAAGTTTATTAACACATAAATCCGGTACTGATCAAGATAAGGCAGTATTACCGAAAACAACCTAATATTTTTTACTAAACGACCAAAAGTCGATCTGGACAAGGAAATGAGAAAATTCAGTTTTAAACAGAATGACTATTCATCGCCATCGGGTATTAATGTGATGCTTGCCGTCTCCTTGTTTGGATCATGTCGATAAATCAAAACAGTTAACACTATATGGGTAACGATGACATAACAAGAGCCGTTAGCTGCGGGGAATTCGATACCAAAAGTCGTTTTGTTCGACATTTTCAATGTACGAAATGAACAATAAAATGTTTCAGTTTATGTATAAAATTTCTAAAACATTTAATGTGATTTTAGCTTCGATGCGAAGCTGAGAAGGTATTGGTTTTACTAAGATGTGTTTTTTTTTTTTTTTTTTTTTTTTTTNTCGATATAATGTGAATATTTAGAAAAATTGAGTGAATTATAAACATATTAACTATTTTTTTTAATTTGAATTATTCATTTTTGTACTCAATGTCATTGTTAAATTTATACACACAAAAAATTCCAAAAAATTCTTTCTATTTTGTTAGGTATTCAATTTAAATAAATTTGATTGAAATTCAATATGTTTTCAAAAATAAAATCCATTGTCAATTGTTTAAGTTTCGTCGGAGCCCTTGAAATAACACTTGTCACTAATGGGACAATCGAATAGACTAGAGTAAACACCCTAAGAAAATCATTATTTATTTTGTTTTTTTCTTTATAATAAAACTACTTTTGAAGTTATGGATTCTTTTCCTACATGTGTATTGAGTTAAGCTTAAGTTTTGTAGAAATATTGTTATATTTTTAACTACAGAAAGTTTAAATAATGTACGCCCGTGTTTTTCTAACGGACTTTTATTTGGTTGCTATTCATCAGTATACATTTTTGTTTTTAATTTTTCAAATACTTATCATATATATGACTATAAAATTATTTGCTAATCCTTCTTAAAATGGCAGTCAATTAAATGACCTCGTATTTTTATGCAGATTCTCAATACAAATGTTTGCACATGCAGTAAAAAAACTAAATTTATAACTCAAATGTTTATTTTTTTAAAAATATTTAATGTGCATGTATTGTTTACTTTAACGTCATAAATCATTAATATAATTTTCATTTTTACTTGTATAAAATGTAAATTTATTAATTTGAAATCAGTAGTATGTTCTATTTTGTTATTTTTAATGGAATACTCATTAGATAAATCTAGGTGAACACCAACTATCATAATTTCAAACAGCATTATTAAACTAAAGCTGTGAATATCTCATTGTACTGTAAGTATTCATTTAATTACTTTTAAATGTAATTTAACTAAGGCTTCATTACAACCAAACAAAATATTACTAATTATTCATACATTATTTGCTGAGATACGTAATTACTCAATTCTTTTCGAGGAAATATCATTTACGAAAGGTAATTAAAAATTGAGAGTATTAATTCAGTTAACTAATATCTAACTCTAAATTTTCACAAGTTGATAGTAATTTTAGTCAGTTTATAGAGGTTAGTTGATACGTGTTTAGTTTTAGTATTTATTGTCATTAAATTTAAATTCAAGATTAAAATATTTTTTAAATAATTCAACAGAAAATATTAACCAAATATTTAATAGCTAATCAGTTGAACATATTTTAAATAGAATAACACTAATTGGTACATTTTAAAATTATTTTTATTCATTAATAATTTAAAAGGATAAGTATTTTTAAATTTAGTTTCTATCTATTATAATAATATTGTATATGTAAGAAATAAACTCTTAACCGACCTTTGAGAGATATAGAAAGTCAGCAGAATCTTAAAGTCCATTCAATAAGATTAACCTTCCGTGTCGATTACATATAATACAGCATCACTATTTATATTCTAAACACGTTTGCCAACGTTGTAAAAAAAACCTCAGAAATATATTTGTGACTATATATACTCTCTAAAAAGTAGTAGTACTTTCCTACGCGATAATAATCGTGTTATTCAACATTTTCATTAATAGCATCCGTAAAAACATTATTTCTAAAATAATTAAATACTTATTAGTGACACTTAAGTTACTTACTATTTTATTTTAAAATCATTGTAGAAAGTTTGAAAAATAATTTTTATTGTCTATATCTAAAAACATGATTATCATATGAATAATTTCATTTGTTTCATTTTTGTAAATAATTGGATAATTAATGTTTTACTTCAACACACAGAGTAAACAAACAAATAATATATAGGATGTTCAATAAACAAGGAAACGTGTTTTTATTGTTCTCATTGTTTGTAACAATTTACCTGTTTCCTTACTTACTAAACACTCTGTATTTTGTAATTAACGGTCGCCTATCAAATGATTCCAATGACTTTTGATTTATTTATTTTTTATCGTATTATATCAATTGGTAGTAAATTTTAATATTTTTAGTTTTATATCAATAACAATTTAGTTGTGTATGTAATAAAACAATTTTAAAACTTGAAGCATGTTTCAAAATTAAAACAGAATAAACGACTATTTTTGTTGCATGTTGCTATGCAACTAATTGAGGTTTTTATTGTTGTAAAAAAATGTATAAAAGTATCCTATAACGGCAACGTGACGGGTCGAGTGACATAAAAATGCTTTATTACTGTAACAAAACTGATAGGTTAGAATTTAAGAGGAAGTTGTTAAACGGTTCACATAAAAATTCAGTATAATGTAATAATCACATAAAATCATTGAATTGACATGCATTTAAAAGATAGAATACACTTGCTTAATTGAGGTCATTTATTTTAATAAAATTAATTTAAAACTTTAAATGTTAAGAATTAATATCAAAAATAATGTTCAAATAATTATTAGATCAAAATACATAAATTTATTAAGTTTTTTTATCTTATTAAATAGTTTTTAATAGACATTTTGTTTTATTAATAGTTTAAACAGAATGATTTAAAATAATAAACAAATAACACAGATTATTAAGAAATTAAATTTTAAGCACTTAATTTTCAAAAATAAAACTAGAATTTAATTTTAAAGAGTCAAACTCTATTGTTTTAGCTAGCATAATTAATGAATTAAATAGTTTGTCGTCACTTAACACAAATAAAAATAAAAATTTTAATACTTTTGTGATTCTTACTAAATCATCCAGTGATTTAAGTACCATTTATTAGATTCTAATTGCAGAAAATATATGAGTACTGTGAATACATTGTTATAAATAGGTACAGATTTAGTTAATGAACTACAGTTGATCTAGTGCTTTTATAGCTGTCAAATGATAAAATTAAAAGTAAACAGTTTTTTTTTTTGATTAAAATTTAGTTTTTATAGTAATATCACGATAAACTAATTTATTTTACATTGTGACTTTCTTGTGGTTAACGAGGTCAGTGTCTTTCATTTTTTATGATTTGCTGCAATCTCTATGTTATATGTACAATTTTATTAAATACCACGTGATCACGAATTCTAGAATCAACAGTAGAAACGTAGCTTAACTTTAATAGCGTGTTAAGGAATCATTAAGTACCCCTTCACGTTATACTATACCCATATTATTTACCTTACTATTATTTATAAAAAAAAAATACTATACTTCATAAAATTACACTCAAAATAATTAAAATTAATGATCTCGCTATACAGTTAACGGGTATCTAAATAGTTAAATATTTCTTAATATCATTTATCGACGATGAATTAATCAAAAAATAAATTATATTATTTGTTTAACAAATTATTTTTTAGTTTCGAAGGTTTCAATTTAATTTTGATGTGACTAGACTAAGAAAACATAAATTATGTTAAAATGTTTTCTTAGATGAAGTCATAACTCTACAAAATGTAGTTTTTCGACTTAACATAGAAAATAAAATAAAATAGAAGCTCAAAGTCTATTTTAAGTAGCAAATTCTCTTAACAAAAATGGGTTCCACTGAAAAAACTATAAAAACTTTCACTTATCAAAACTTTTTAAAATATATCTACAAACTTTCCATTTGTCATTACCATCAACGGTTGGAAAACCAGTCGAGAAAGCAGTCAAAAAAGTACATAAATGAATCAGTTTAAAACACCTTTACTTTTTCAACAATAATAATTGAATTACAAATGGTTTAATTAAACAGATGAATTAACTTTTCATTTTAAGCGGAAAGAATACTGAAATCAGAATTTTCAGAAAAGAGAATTCTGATTCTAAGAAAATAATTGTGGTTCATAAACACAATGGCCATTGCCCAAGTACGATTTCCTTTTGGTACTGAACATAATATGTTCAGTGTAGCATTATATATTATACAATGCAATTATGATACTCTACTAAAATATTTTTGAGAAAGAACCACAAATTTTTATATTTTTTTATATTAATCAATTACATTTGATGACTAGACAGACTTGTGTTTTGTTGAATTTAATAATAAAAAATATTACTTCAAATTATAGTTATAGACAAATGACATAATAATAAACTAGCCACTAAATTTGAAGTATTACATGGATACAAAGAGTTATTAGTTATACAGTTACAGTTATTACTGTGTTAACCTTTCTTCTAATCAGTTATGACGCATCGTCATTATCTTTTAATGAAATTTTAAAAATTCATGAGTGTTGCTATATTATTTTCTGAATTACTCTTTCTTCCCCATGTCTATCTTTTTTTCTTTCTAAAATAAATTTTCATGATCCACAACTAATAATTTTCTTAAAAAAAAAATCTATTTGTAATAAAAAGAATAAAAGTATTCGTGCGTGCTGTATTATTTTGAAGATGTAAAATCGATTTTTATCTGTCAAAAAGGATGATTTGACAATGGCTATGTAGTAAACCGAAAATTGTATTTACTCTTTGTATTGTACACAAAAGAATGCAAATTTTGACTGATACGTGTGATGAAAGTTTCTGAAATAAAACGAAACTGTTCAAGTGGTTGGCACTTAAAATCATATTTAATATTGCTTACAAAATTTACTATGTTCATACATGTTTGTTTAATTTTTTTTTCTTCTTATAATTTTATGTTTTACATTCAAGGTAAATATGTTGAATTTGAGTTTTTCATTTTTTTTAGTGGGCTCAAATTATACAATATGATGCTAATAAAGAATTAGTTGAATTAAAATACATAAATATTTTAATGAATTTCAGTAAGTTTAATTTTCATTTCATCGCACAGAAAGTATTCATAAACATTTTATTTTAATTAATTTTTTAAATAATTAGTGAAAATACAGTATCACACTTTTGACATCGCTCTCGTTCAGTATGAGTGTTTTATAATGTTATTATAAAACAAGACCATACAATGTTACTGACAATTAATAGACTATTGAGTTTCACAACAAGCATCTTGAAATGTGTGTGCCAACTGTATTCGACAATAAATAAATAGAAAATTCCACTTAAAACATAAATATTAAGAATAGAAAATATACTTTGGATACTATTTAAAATATAGAATTCAAATTGAAATAATATTTGAAGATGTTCTTTCAATTTTTACACAAAAATATTTATTAAATTTAATATCATCTATATAAATATAAGTATATCTTCTTCATTTCCTCCAATCTTTATCATTATACAATTAACACAAAATATGATTTAGAATATTTACAACTGATTGCATAGTATACTGTGTCGGCTTTTCTGTTTGTTTTTATGTTGGTATTTGGTTGATAATCGATAACGACAATATGATTATTTTTTGTTGTTGTTGATGTTATTGTTGTGTCATCGATAACGATTTTCTGTTTGTTAGTAATGTTGATTTTTTCTAAGTTGAGTTTTTTTTCAATATTTTTGGCATTTTACTCTTCTTTTTTTGTAACAATAGTTTTGAGATATGTCAAATATTGCTTTTTCACATTCATGCTTTTGTGTATTGCGTCCTTTTTTTATTATTGGGTTTTTTTTTTTGTATATATATTAGGTAACCAAGTATTGCTAATTTTCCATTTGTCTTCTCTGTTATAATTTTATAGGCAAATTTAAATTTTAATAATATAAATATAAATAATACTTTAAAAATATAAAAATTAATGCTAAGAGTGTTATAAAAATAACAAATATATCTTTTATATTTTTACAATGTTATTAGTATTCAAAATACTATTATATTATAGTATTAATAATATTATTGAGTATTAAATTAATTTTATACACATAAATTTCAATTTCTTTATTGTACATTTGTTTACAAAAATTGTTCTTCTTTAAAGATATTGCATTTCAATTTTTAAAATAATCATGTTAAAGGATTTTGTGTACTGTAAAAACAATTAGTACAGATAAAATAAAAATTATACGTTAATCGCTGTGATAACTTTTCTGTGCTATTCACTTTTAATATTTTTAAATTAATTATAATAAATTATATATTTACTTTCTGTTCCAAAATTGTTATAGCGTAACAATACCGTTTACATTAGTTATGTGGGATGATAAAATTACTGAAAATAAAGGATGTCTTTTAATTTTGTATTTTAAAAATCGCTACTTTAACTTAATTTTGGGTGAATTTTGGCTTAGAGGGGCAAAATTAATTGATATTTATAAATAATTCAACGCTAAAATGGTCGAAAACCTCACTATTAAGCTTTAGTATGTTTTACTAGCATGTGTGTCCCAAGCGCGCTCAATATGCATTGCACAGTAAAGTTATTAATACTAATTTGCTCTAATCCATGACACATTGTAAGCCCTTCGTCCAGTTATCCTTTGGGAATAACTGTAGTTAAAGCTTCCATGCTCGCATACTCTTCCACTACGTCTCCTTTGAATAACTCTTCCTCCTAATGCCCGAGTCAGATAGATCTCGAGGGGTTGCAAAGTTCTCAGTTGCAACAATCGCAAAATAAATGAAAATTTATTGAACAATTTTTTATTTTTTAGGTTACTTTTGGCACATCACTGATATACAATATGACGCAAATTATGTAACAGCTACCGATGATTACGCAAAAAGTAAGTATCACTGCACATAAATCATTAGTCTAAAAATACGAGAAAAACCACCTTGATAATGTAATTATGTGTCTATCGATCCATTGACAATAACGATGATTAAACTTGCGAATTTCTCAAGAGACATCGGACGCGGTATGAATAAACGTCGATCGATGCATATTTTTTTTATGCACAACTTTTTTTTTTATTATTTTTATTTTCTAATATGATTAGTTTTCACTCATTCCTATCAGAGTTAATAGAGTTACTATAAACCTTAGCGTCTTGTTGTCGAATATAGGTAATAGATTTCAATACTTTTTCAAAGAGGCATAAAACAGTATTCTGAATGAAAACGAATTTTAAATTCGATATAATAAGCCGTGCATGCTGTACAGACAAAGTATAAACTCACTACAGGAAGTTTTAAATGGTTTTGTTTTTATTTAGTATTACCGACCCCGTTTCATTTAAAACTTTCAAAGCTTTTAGGCATCTCTAATAATTAGAAGAAATCGGTTCCAAAGGACTTTAATTATTTAAACGTAAAAAAAAGTTACTTTTCTAAAGTCTGGGAAATTCAATCGGGTCGATTTCCGTTAATTTTTTTCTTCTCGATGGTTTTCACCGCATTATTATTAAGATAACAATAGTATACATTTATTTTATTTTTAATAATCGAATAACAAATTATAAAGAATAAGTAAAAATTAATTATTTTTATCTCATCAAATAACAGTATTAATCAATTTACCTACTGAGATATAACTTTTAGCTAAGAAATACAAATAATTTTTATTTAATTTAAGAAACTATCAATAAATTCAAAGTACGTTTTTTTAAAGTATTTTTTACAGTTAAATGTAATAAACAAATTAGAAATATATTAATGGGGATCAAAATAAGTTTGCTTAAATAGATTTCAATTTATTCATACAACAAAAAATTACTTTGGCTAAATTTTATTTATATTTGCCAAATAGTTCAGTTATTAGAAAAAAGGGAAGTTTATACAAACAAATAACTAAAAATTAAACACGATTTCTTTCATCTCCCAATTCTCTTTTTAACAGTACTATCACCTTGTTTATTCAACGTTTTGCATTTTTAATTAAGAACGTCCTACGCACTTTGTTAAATGTAAGTCTCATATCGTCAGATATTTTTTTATATTTGCGTTGAAGTATGATGATAATTAAATTAAATTTTTTATGACGTCAATATCAGGTTCAACAACTAAAATCTTTATTTGCAATTCATTTTTTTTTACAGTTATAGGTTGACAATTTTATAAACAATTATTCGTTTTGGTACTAAAAAAATTTACTATTTTTTAAACACATTCCAAGAAATGAAATTTTTAAATTAACTCGAAAACGAAAAATAAATCTCTATATTTTATAAAATGTTACTGAAAGGTTAAAACATGGAAAATTTATTTATTTATGTTCCATTTGTCATCATTTGACTCTTTAAATAAAAATAAATTAAAACAAATTTTATGGTCGAACACTACATTGTTCAACATTATCTTATCTAAGAACTAAATATCAAAAGTTTATAATCGCTTAACCATTCTTATAATTATATGAAATACAACAATTTAATGAAATATCCACTCTAACGTAGTTCTTAAAATATGTAAACATAGAGAGATAATTTTGTAATTCTATAAATATCTAATATTATGGGACGGAATAATTTGAATTTGCTTTTTATTAAATTGTGGTAATCATTATATTATTAAATATATAGTAGATAACAAATACAAAAAATTAATTTTATATTTAGCATTAATATAGCAACAAAATAAATATATAGTTGAAAGAATTAACTCATTTGTTATCTCAATACCCTAGTAACAATTTTTTTTTTTTTATGATCTTATAATTATATTTTTATAATAAATAATGTTATAAAAATGCTTACAAAATATTATTTTTAATATTTGCTATCTGGATACTCAATTAAAATCACTAAATAAATTTTATAAAAATGTAAAATAAAAAAAACTGGCACAATAGAGTTGTGGCATAGTTGACATGTATAGATGATATCTGACAATAAATAAGATCACTGTCATGAAAAATAATTCGATACAAATCTATAAATAGTATTTAATTTTTAGAAGTAATTGTTAAATTTGTCTAAAAGCAAATCAACTCCTATTTTTCTAATTATATTCTAATTACGAGTTTTATGCTCAATTTAGCCATCAAGTATAAATGTGAATATTTGTAAATATAATTCTTCAATGTTTGTCAACTCGAAAAAATAAAATTGAATTATTAGTTAAGTTTATTCAAAGTAGACTATATCTCTAACTTCGTTTGATCGAATTATCTGAAGCTAAATATATAAATTTGGAAAGAATGTGATGATCTGAGTGTTCTAAGTCCAAGTTCGATCACGCGGATAAGTGTTGTTAGGAAGAGTCAAAATAATAACAATTATAATGTAACATTCACTGATTGAACACTGATCACTGAATCAGTAGTCAGATCCCTTTTTATTAGGAATAATGTCATTAACAATTAAGGATATAATGAAATTTACAGTATTAATGGTTACTTTCTAAATATTAGTATAATACTTCTAGTGTTACAATAAATTCCTTATAACTAATATTTATAAAACAATTATGGGTTCACGACAGGAACATTTTACAATAATCTAAAATATAATAAAAACAAGTTGACAAGAATATACTCTAAAAAGATTGTTATGGTAATTTTACATTACATTCTCAACATACTCGTTTTAATGCGTATAACAGAATCAAAGCACAATCTTTAGACATATTGAGAGCAATTATTTATACAGATTTAATTACTTAAAAATATTAACATCATCACAAGAAAATGATTAATAACAAAACGGTATAATAAGAAATATTCACAATAACAGTAATTAGGACAATGACAATTTCTGTATCTATATACTAAGCCACATGAGCCACTGGATACCACCCAGCAAATAATAACTCTGGACCCACTTTTAGAATAATATAACAATTATATAGATATAAATATTAAAATATTTTATTTTTCATATTGAAAGGACATCATATTTAAACCAAACATTTTTCAAATATTCAAATATATTATAAAAGTGTTTTTTTATGTAAAATGAATAACTCATAGCGAAGTTAGCATAAATATCTGTTGCAGACAGATTAAACGGTAGTTAAATGTTATTTGAATATTCAAAAGAAAATCTAGATTACGAATTAAAGCTTTATATATTCCATTGAGAAAAAACTATGTTTCAACAAAGACAATGATAAATTTTTAATATATACGTTTGATAAATTGTCTTTGATTTAAAATGGGCCAACAGCCAAAAAAATATTCTATTCCGTTAGTTTGCTCGCTGGCAATTTATTAAACCATTCTCAAAAATGCCGTTTATCTTCGATTTTACAATGAATTATTGTTACGCAGGAAAACCAAAACCCCGTTAAATTCGTTGAAACTTGTTTCAGTTTTAATTAGGTCTATCGATCGTTTAGGTTTCTACTACTTTAAGTTTCCGCTTTAACAACTAGAAGTGTATGTGTATATTTTAGTTTTAGTTTCATACTTTGTTTCCTCTGTTAATTAGATTGCAAACAATCATCGGACGATCTAGAGCTTATGATCGCGGTCGAAAGAAGACGACCAACTAATAGTCGTGGCACACTGGGTGACTATGCATGTGATTCGCCATGGTCATTAGTCAAATCAGCCGTAAGGGCTATGAAAGAAAAACACGGTGACAACATCGAATTCATCCTTTGGTCTGGGTTAGTGAAATTGTGTTTTTAAAATTAGTTTGTAATTTAGTGTTTGATAAATAGGCATAAATGTCAAAATAAACTTAATTTAAATTAAGACATATACGTATATCATTCAACATTTTATTATACTATTGCTTTAAGAACTGTAATAATAAAACTGTTTTATAATAAATAAAAATAGTTACATTTTTGATGTATTATTAAAAATAATAAAAATTGAAAAAGTTAACAATTCATATAATAAAATTACTTTTTTAATTGTAGAAACTTGACCTAATTAATAATCTCATCTAAATAATATAAATATTACACAAAAATAAAATGACAAAAAACCTTATCTTTTATCTCGATTAGAAACAAAAAAGTTCAATCGTAATGTTCTGAAATATGTTTATTAAAGATTTGTGCTTTAGCTTACAAAAGTATTTTCATTCAATAAGTCTATAAAACATTGCTAGTGTACAATATTATGATTTATGGTTTATTCATAACTATTTGATTATGCTAAACTCTATACATTCAAAAAATTGCAGTTTCAAAATGATACAGAAAACATTTAGTTGAAACTACTGTAAATTTATAACTATAAAAAAATCAAAATTACTTATTGGATACTGTATATACGCTCTCTTAATATTTCTTTGAACACTAAACATTTTAAAGAAGGAAAATATTTCATAAATTCATTGTTCAGATTTTTTTATTGATACAACATAATAATACAATAAACTCGCATGAGTTCACTAGTTTCCTAAATAGAAGCTTTAATATCTTTGGTAATAAACATTATTGCAGAAAGTGTTTTCTCGATGTTCAAGAATAGAATAGATGGTGTGGAAAAGACAAGTCTTTTACTGTATTTTTTTCGATTTAACGCAATTTATTTTAAAATAGCCATATACCACTTTTAATCGTTGTTTAGTGTTTTATGGCCACATCTACCACATGTGTTACTGATTGCCTAAGCTCATGCAACGCTAAGATTAAATAAAATATCCAAGTTTTTGAATGCACTTGCTGAATGCGTGTGATAAAACAGCTACTGCAATAAAACCCAAAGTAACATGAGATAGTGTATAAGTTATTACGGTACAATAAATGGTTTTTAGATATATTAAAATAGAGATAAGGTCAAACGAAATCAAATAAATATAAAAAATCATATATTTCACTAGACAAAGAATAATTCACATAATCATAGTATTAAAATAATATTCATGATCATGACATTAATTAGATGTCGATTTATAAATATTTTTTTACAATAAAAAAATATTCAATAATTTATCTAGAAACAACACTAAATTTTATTTCATTAACATACAATTAAAGGAATCGGTAGAACAACCAGATATGTCCAATTTTTCCAGAAAATAATTTTTTTTATAGTTTTGATGAAATATGAATTTTTTGTTCTATAAAATCAGTTTTATGTTCTTATTATTTGTGAAGATAATTAAAAAAAAAAAAAACATTTTGCCATAAATAAAAAAATATAAATAAAATAAAATAATTTCTCCTGAAAAATGCAAAAATAAAAATGGACTTCTCAAATTGTTGCACCAGAACCTTAAATTGTAAATATCACAATAGTTTATCTTGTTACAATAGGATAACATTCGAATGATCGAATTAATACATATGAAGATCTTAAAGACATAATTATCTTTATCATAAAGGGATTACTAGCGATTTTAAAGTGTATACCAACTTAAATAATATTATAATCTCCAGTATTATTTAAGAAGATTATAATAATATTATAAGCTGACGAATTTTAGGAATTCCTGAAACTAAATTTTAACTTTCATCTGAGACTAGTACCACTGAGTTTAAAGGTAATTTAATATGTTTTTAAGTTACACTTTTGTTTCACATATTTATCTCACAAAAGAATGTGTTAAATCTTATCTTTAAATTTATATAATATAGAACTAATTTTGGATAAACATCAGTAGCATGCTCATTATATTCAAGGAAAAGCTATAAAAATATAATAAGAATTAATCAATTGCTGCTAATATTATTTAAGATTAAATATTAATTTAAAATTAAAAAATACCTAACTCAAAAAACCACATAAACTACTAAAAAAAAATTGCGTATACGTATTTCAAAAACAATGTTACCTCATCAGTGCTAAACACATACTGATACCCCTAACTAAAAAAATCTCTCTCTTATACCCTAGTAATGTTATCACTTATTGGTATTATCATCTAATGATGTTGTCACATTTTTCCAGTTAACACACGTTTAATAGTGCACTTTGCGGTGGTCCAACATCCCAATTAATTAAATTATTCTTATTTTTAAACATTTATATTAAATCCTTGATATCTATATATCCCTTAAATTAAGTTTTTGAAATGAAAGTTTTTAAATTTTGCAGATCAGATGTTACGGTTTTTTTACCTGAAAACTTGAATCTAACAACTTTAGTTTCACACTTGAAATAAGTGTAGAGCATGAAAAAAAGTTTGTCATGTTAAGTAAAAAATGTTTACAAGGATTAGAGTAAAGCATTAAAATAAATATTAAGAAAATAAATGTTTAACATTAAAATTTCTACAGGTGTATGCCACCCGTAATAAAATCACATTAAATAATATGATAAATATTTTATTAATAACTGGGAAAAACCTGATACTTTTTTAAACAGTATAGATTTAATTGTTAATTCTGGATGGTTGATTTTGTATACATCGATGTTATGATTAAGTGACTGTGTTGTTGGCTACGATATTGATGTATTTTTTTTAATATTATATCAAACCCGTTTTCTGAAATGTAGTTTGTTTTTTTTAGTACCATTGACAATAAATATGTATGTAACATATATATATAATATGTATTATTTTCTCGTACACTTTAACACATCAGTACTTATCTATTATCTCTTAACTTAAAAAAAAGCTATACAATTTTAAAATGAAACACGATAAAAACTAAATTAATGCAAATTACAAAATAAATTTTATTATTTACAGTTTCAATAAAGAAAAATAATGTTGGCCTATATTTTTAGGCCAAGTAAAATAAATAATAGCCATAATATTGAACCGTATGTGAACCTTATTTCAGTTAAGAACATAAATTACTTTCTTATCGGTCTTTTAAACTTCTAGTAAAAGAAAAATAGAGTACAACACATCGACTTCTATATTGCAGTATAAAAAACTTAAAAATTCAATCACACTAATTGTATAATTTATTTTTATACATGAAAAATAATTCACATGTGGCTATTAAAAGAGCAAATAGTGAATTTTTTTATGTTACTAGTAATGTTTGAACCAAATGCAAACCGAAAAATGTAACGAGCTGAATTTTTGAGTAATTATATAAAATATGTTCTGCCTGAAAATAATTAAAAATAATTTTTGAACTGTTCAGTTCGTTTTAACCAAAAAAAGCCTTCATTACATCACTTTATTTTGCATTAAAATTATTTTAGCTATTTAACCCCCCCCCCAACTATTTGGACTATAAAAATTTGAAATTATAAAAATAATATTTTTTGATTTCTTAATTTATATAAGTTTCATTATTTTTGTACTATTGCAATAAACAAATCTGAAATAACACTTAATAGTTTATGAATGTACTGATTTCATAGAAATTTTATTGTAATATTTCTTTAGCGTAGAAAACAAATCACTTCAGTTTGTATAATTATTCAAAATATGAATACCATTTTACTGGAAAACAAATAAATTTATTTCAATTCACTAAATACAGATTATTCAATACTCATCGCTTTTTTAATTAAAAAGATTTTTTTTTCAACCATCCAATATGTATATTAAGTTTTACATTTTGTGTCTTGCATAGGTACGTAAAACGGAAATTGAATTTTACTTATAAAAAAAGACTTTTAAAAAAGAAAATAACATGAAATAGGATATTTTGTATTCAGGAATGAATCATATATAAAATCGTCATTCAAAATATAAAATAATAATATAATCCGCAAAATCCGGATTTAACGGAGACGATCAACATATAAAAGATTTTTAAAGTAAGGGGAAAAAACTAAGGATTATTTCAGACTTAAATCTATTGTTTTTCTTTTGTGAATAAAGATATTCTAAAAACTATTCAGTAAACTTTCGAACAATTTGCAAATTATTTTTTTTTATAAGACTTATAATGTAAACGACATAAATATTAAGTAACAAACGTTAATTTAACGATTAAAGGGCAAAACTATATTTCATTACATGTCTCTCTTGGGTAGTGTATTATCATTGAAAACTTTAACTCATTAATTAATGGTCTAATGAAGATAAACACAGTATCGCATGTTATTGTAAAATATTACAGAAATGATTGAAGCGCTTAGATACTCAGTTAAAATTAAAAGTTTATTGTTCTACATTTCCACTAATTGGGAACCAAATTTAAATTCTATTTGCAGTTAACATGTATCTAATTAAACTACATTATTATTAATCAGGAAAACTCTTATTTTAATTTTAAATACCATTCAGTATTGAAGTGAATTTTTTTTAGTATAACTTATAACAATTATCAATATATTAATGAACTTTTATATGTTAAATTAAAATTTTTTTATTTGATCACTCCAAAATCTGATTAAAATTTAGCATAAGGTTAAAATATATTTATATTTAACAAACAAAAAACCCACCACAGTCGGGACGTGGCATAGTTGGATCATGTATAATAATATCTAACAGTGATTAAAATCACTATTGTAAGAACATTTATTACTATGTTCTTACCACTTATATTACACACGTTTTATTTCTATTTATTTAATTCGTAATACATATTAATTAGCATAGTAGGAGATGCTGATGTGACAATTCTACTCGTCTGTAGCCCGGAGCTACTGACGTCGAACTAACAAAGGGCAGTTGTGTTTGAGTGGCCGTTTTAGACATAGTTTTGAATATTATTACTTACGTCTTATTTATATTATTTATAACTTAACTTGTTTTATCGCCAATTGTCATCATAGCCAACCAACTCCGTCTCACTTGGATATACCTACTAACCAACTGTATTAAGATTCATGTCAGACGTATTGTACATTACATATAACTTATATTTACTAAACATCTAAAATATAACTTTACTTTGTCGTTGACATAAAACAATAGTCTAATTTTATTTAATAATCTATCCCCTGTAACTAAGGTACACGATTGCCTGTGTCTCCTTCAGGCAATTAAAACTCATTTAAGGAGATAGGGACGATATTTGGGCAGACGTCGGGTAGCTTCCGATTCTTGGTTTTGACCAAGATCCTCAACTATTAAACAAGCCCCTAACACTATCATAAAAGACGCTTCGATGCTAATCAATAATTTATAGCATTTTAAAGTTAAAAATGTAAAATACAAAATCGAAAATTTTCACACGAATATAGCATTCGGTAGCCATTTTCACCATGAAGATAAAATAAAGTCCGAAATTCTTTTTTTTCAAAATAAAGTTCATTACATTAGCTTTAATTTAAGATATATATAAAAGTGTCAGACCTTCCGGAACATTTTCAAAAGTGAGAACTGAGAAAAAGTGATAACAGACACAAAAAAAAAAAAAAAAACATCATAGTAAAATTAATACCTTCTCAGTTTCGCATCGAAGCCAAAAGTTTAAGGTTTAAAAATAATTGCATTTAATTGATGTTACTTTAATTCAAATGTTCATTATTTTTTACGCAAAATTAATGGCTGTCACTTTTAAAATTGTTCTATTAAATACAATTAAGAGTTTAGATTTTTTTTGAAAGGCTTATTTTTTTAGAAAATTGCAGATGGTAATAAAAAAAGTAACATGTGGGTATTGTAACTTTACCAGCGTTACCTAAATATCCTAATCTATTTTTGATGATTTACAGCAATTAGATTTTTCTGACGGTATAAAAAATGAATGATAATTCATATTGTAATTATTAGACATGAAATCATTTTATCATTCAAAAATTTATTGAATACCTATGAATCGTCAAGTTGAAATATACATTGTGATTGTTAATAATATTATTATTTATATAAACTTGTATCATTTCTATAAAAATTATTAATAAAATTTAATTAAATCAAAAGCTTTATGATGCTAAAAATACTTGTATCTTGTTTTAAAATACAAATATCTAAATTGTAGATGATTTCCAGAGGTAAATTATATTTAGGTCGAACATTAAAAATCTATAGATCGATAAAAAAAAATTACTCATTATGACTTTTAACTTTTAAACTCACATATTAAATTTAAATGTCGTTAAATTCCAAAAAAAAAAAAATTAAAATTAGAGAACTTTTTAATTTTTTTTTTTAATTTTTTCCAATTGAAGATAGATGAGTATAAATACTTAAGATTTTTTAGAAATATTATCTTAGATACACGCTCATACAAAGAAATCATTGAACTTAATTTTTAATTTACATCAAAGAGTTTTTTTTATAAAGTATTACTGTCAAATTTAATTTAAAAAATGTGAACACTCCAATGTTTATTACATAAGAATTTTCTTGACACATTCTTTTATATATACATTTAAGTGTATTTAAAGGAAAATTGACCCAGTTTAGCTACATCAACTTTTTCATTTTATTATTATCAAATGTTTATGGTGTCAGTTGAAGTTTTTAGTTTACTTCTTTCGTGCAATGTTTAATAAAACAAATTAGACATGATGAATTCCATTAAAATTTAAATCTTTTTAAATAACTATAATATTTTGAACGAGATAATCTAATGGTAACGCTGTACTTGCATAAAAATTGTCTAGTTATTCTAATAATTTATGAAAAATCGGCATGTTCTTATATTTATCATAAATTATAAGGTATATTATGAAACTATTATTTTATTTGCTTTGCATTAGTGATAATTTTGGGTATTGAAGTACGATAATGGTCATATGAAAATTATTTATTTCATTGACTCAAAAATTCTTTAATTTTTATTTTTAATTATCTCAACTTCATTTTGTTTCTTAGAATTAAAAAAGAGAAATGCTTAGACAGAATTTATAACTCTAAACTGTCACAGTTATAAATAACATACATTTTCTTGACATTCAGGCACTTTTTTCGATTGTCCTTGAACAACCCAATCAATATTATTATATAAACTGTAAACATTGTTTAAAGTACAATGCGTAATTTAAATAACCATTATATAGTATAATTGTATAATTTGATCTAATGAGTTTGTGTACTAGTCCCTAAAAAATTTGTAATCATAACTTTGTGCGATAAAAATAAAATAATCAGATGTCTAAAAAAAAAATAATACATTTAGTCTAAGAATAGCAATAGTGCAGTGATTTTACTGTTCCAGAAAAAGTTTTTATAAAACTGTTTAAAAGCTAATATTATTACCCGATCAGATTTATAACGCCGACGAAAGTAATTTTTTCTGGAAGCTGAATTAAAAGACACAGGTAATATAATTTGTAAGCATCGTGTAACTTTTCTGCCTTATGTCAAAATTCATTTGGTTCTCATGAACTCAAAATATTGGTAGTGGGAAAATCTAAAAATCCTTGGATATTTTAAAATATTTCATCCTTATATTTATCTTTTACATCATTTTTTTGTTATAAATTTTATATTGTGTATTTTACATATAACCTCTGATAATATTTGATAGTTCGGTAGTATTATATCCTGCCGGATTATTGAGCTTCGCCTGTACTTTTTCAATCATCTAAAATATTATTATATTTTATTTCATCAAACATTATCCATTTTGTATTAATAAAAACACAAAAATGAATAGAAAAGGAAAAAATGACTGAAGCATTTGTTATTAGCTGTCTTAATTTCGCAGATACGATAGTCACGCCAGTGGGCGTAAGGTAGCACACCATCAAAGCTCTCACCTTACAACTACACGTGGTTGTTTGCATAAATTTGCATTAATTACCAGTAACATTTATACGATATCCTTGTTATTTATTAACAACGAGTAAGTACATATAGGTTCTGCACGAGTATTTATGATGTTTTTTGGGTACTAAAACATTTAACTAAACTACCAATGTCAGTGATAACCGTTTGAAAGACGAGACCCAAAATGTACTTACATACAAGGTGACTGAGTTTTGTACTATGTTATTGAAATTCTAGAATCCAAATTTTTACCTTGGTGAAATCTACCATTTATTTAACCAATCTATTACCGCCCCTTTCGTGATTATTTTAAAACATACCAGCTTGGACTATGCCAAATCTAATTCCTACCCTTAATATTAGTATTCTACACAATCGTAAACAACTATAAATAAACCCATTGGAAATTTTCTGTCTGATTTACGACAGCATAATTATTGTTTGTTAAAAGTAGTTCACGTTTTTATTGTTAAAATCCATTCTCCTTTGCTATTTAGTCATTGTTCTTATATTAATTTTAGTTGGATTTACAAAAAACTCGTGTTAAAACAAGGTATCTATTTCTAAGGTTCAATTATTTTCTTTTACTAAGCTATAGTCCAAATAAAATATTTAATTTTCCATGAATAGTATTATGTAATTGTAATAAAAGATTTAATTAATGTAAATACACGTTATCATGTATTTCCATTTAAAATTTTTTAAATAAATATAAATTATTAACTTAAATTATACGGGCGAATTTGGTAAATATAAAAATATTTTAATTTAAACTCATACAAACAACTTTTTTAATATTAAAAAACATTTCACTACAGTTTCATTGAAAGTGATATACAGTGTATAGATTTACCTAGGATCAATAAAAATTCAACAATTATTTTAGTATATGCAAAAGCAACTCTGTTATTTAAATGTATGTATTTTCAGGGATTCCGTATCATTGGATGTAAATGATGCATCTGCTCGTGTAGTAGCTATTCAAAATGTTACCAATTTGCTCAGTCACACGTTCAGCAGTCAATTTGTCTTCCCAGTATTAGGACACGACGATCCAGGTGCTTTACTTGGTCAACGAATCGGTTATACCGAGTTGGGATATTACTGGCGACAATGGCTACCAACAGATGCCATACAAACATTTAACAAAGGTAGAGAAACAGAAAACTTAAATTACAATTATCTTTAAGTAATTACTTTTTTTTTATTTAAACAATATTTTATTCAAGACATTTATTTCAATAACAAATATTGTACAGCTCAAATGCTTATTTAAAATTATATCAAGGAGACCATTTAGATTTATTCTCTAAGATAACAAACATATTATTATTTTAAAGTTAAATTGAAAGAAGTAGAAATAAAAATTAGAAAATCAACTTGGTTGGTTTAGTTGTCACACCATCTTTAAGAACTTTTGATTCAGCGAATATTTTATGTTACTTTTTTTTAAATAACTTAACAGTTTTGGCTACGTTAAAATCAAATTTATTATCATTTATCTGTAATAAGAAAAAAAACTTTAAGGTAAGTACTATTTGAGTTACAAGCATTTTAGTATGTAGAATTGGTATACGTTGTAATTTATTAAGTATACTACCCCCCATATTTTTGCAAAACGATTTATTTATAAAAATTTGTAGATTAAAATTCCATTTGTTTTTATAAACCATTGTAAATATCAAGTTTATCGCAAGAACAAATTAATCTTAAGGGTAGAATTTCGGGGTAATTTTTCATAGCTAAATAGGAACGTATAATTATTATTTTTACTACTTAATTAAGGATGATCTAAATAAAATGTTAACAGATCAATACCCCAATTGTAATATTACTTTATGAGTTGTTATAATTTTTAGTTATAGGCGAGCGAAGTGCGCAACATAGAATAATTCTTATCTGTGCTTATGATAAAAATGATGCGTCACCAAACATTATACTACTCCATCCTTTTCAAAAATGTTAATATATTATTACTATAAAAAAAATACGAGTTGTACTCACCCGTAGTATATATCCACTTAATGCATTAAAATACTCGTACCTCAATAACTAATTATCCTCTTGTTATTATGAATCTATCGAATTTTTTTGTAAGAAAAGTTACTAAATTAGAATTTTAAAAGATTAAAATTAATTTTTTCTATTTGAAAGAAGTATATACTTTTATTAGTCCTGGACTGTAAAAATTATTTAAAAAAATAATTAACACCAATTATTTTATGGATCAAAAGTATTATAGATGTCAGGACTTTGTGGGGTACTCTACATTAAAATAAAAATCTTCAATGAAAAAAGAGTTTTTTTTTTGTACTTAAAAAAATAAGCCTTGAAAGTGTCTAATTTTTTATTCGTCCTAAGTATACTATATAATTTAAAATATAAATTAGCTACTTGAACAAAATTAACACAGTTATTCAATTTTGAACGACACTTATGCTTTTCAACTCTATAGTATATAATGAACGTAAAAATAACACTTCTTATTGAGAAAATATCATAATTAGAGAGTTTTGTAAAACTTAAATATTCACAAATAAACCTCTTATGAAAAATTGTATACTATACAGCTATTTCCTATTAGTCATGGTATACTATAATATAATAAAGAAGAATTAGATTGTTTTAAATTACACAATATATACTTTTATTAAATAATTAAACTTTATGTTTAATTAAAACAATTAAAAGAATCGATATATTTAATAAATAAATGTTTGAAAATTTACCATATTTTGAATTTTATATGCTGCTGATTTTTTGGATCTGGATATGTTTTCGGACACCTCCGCGTGCACAACCTGAAAAACTTTCTCATCCTATTTTATGAATCGTAAAGGATATAACTATTTAATTTAAAACCCAGTGCATTTTGACATTTTTTACAAGACAGCGCACGTGGTCTTCGTAGTTTACTTAGATACAATCAATGTAAACATTTATTTTTTCTCTACACGTCCAAAATGGTCGTAAACATTACGATGCACGATAGAAAAAGTTACGAGGCAAAAGTAGTGGGTTCATTTATAAAGTCTGTGGGTATAATATAGCGTGTGTAGTATAGTATTATAGGCTCATAAGATGTTTTATAGACACCTATTGAGTTTATGATACTACAGTAATACATTTATTGCACATACCTTAACGCATACAACAAATTTTAATCCAAGTATAATATCTAGACATATTGCGTATAATACAACAATAATCTTACAGAAATTCTAAGTATGTTAGTTTTTGTTGACACTAAATCTTATTATGGCAAGTTCGAGTTAGACATTTATCCATTACTTTTTACCTTTACGTCGCGTATATCTTCTTTCGATCCTTGTTTTATGTATCATTAAAGTACGATTTAAAAAAGAAAATAGTCAAACATAAAATCGGTATCAACATAATACGCAATAAAAAGACAATGCCGTGAAATAATAAGGCATAGAGCAAAGTAAAAAAACATTTTGTTTTTTAAGCGCTAAGGTATTATATGTATAAGGTTTTATTTCACACAATTGTAGTCAGCTGTATTTGCAGTTTCACATGTAAATTGTAAAAGTTTCACAGTTTCAAAAACGCGTTTCACAAAACATATTGTTTCATTTTAATGTTATTCTTTTAAAAATAACTATTATTTACCTTTTCATATTAAAAACTATTAACGTAATCTATAAAACAATAAAATTTCTCTATAATCGTATATTAATATTTAAAATTTTAAAAATTAAAAGATAATCTAAATTTTAGAGAAACATAATTTTATTTAATTAATTAGCCACATGTGATCAATTTTTATTATATAATTTATATATTTTATAAATTATTGATTTTAATATGAAACTAATCTTAATTAATTCTGCCCATTTTTATTTAATACTACAATTGAAACCCACACGTCTCTAGTATATATTATACTAGAGACGTGGGTTTAAATAACATATTAAGTGGATACGAGTAAGTTTTTTTTTTTTTTTATAATTCTATACTATACATAATTATATGACAAAATTATCTTGAGTATTAATATATAGCTAAAATTTAATATAAAAATAGACTTATATTTAATTTTAATAGTGTTCTTTTTTAGATGAAAATGTTCTTTTATAAACAAAATTTATTGTATTTAATGCTTTATAATTTTAAATTATATATTATTGTTCCACGATATTTTTAATATTATCAAAAATAATTAGTATGAGTCACGCATACAATGTATTTTATTTACCAATGATTTTAAACAAAATACATCAAAAAAGAAATATTTTATTTATATTGCTTTCGACCACACACAACCATTGATGTAAATGCATCAGTTATTGAGATCTATGACAATTTTATCAACAATTAATTTTTCTATTAAAAACAGTGTTTTATTTTTTCCTCAATGAATTTATTTCAAGCATGGCTAATTTTTAAACGCGCAGTGTATAAGACATCGTAATAGAAGTTGTAAATCAATAGCAATCACATAGTATTTTGATAAACTTTACTAACCAGCAAATCGTATAAAACCCTATTTATTTTGATTTTTAACTAGTATTAAAACTTCTATCAACTCTTTAATTTTCCTTAAATCTAATCAAGATTTAAGGTAACAGTGCGATGTTTCTTGAATTTACTGCAATAGGAAATCAATATTTATATTTTCTATGAATTATACCTAACCACAATCATTGTATATGTTATACAAATGTTATACCGCATAACATCATTAGTTAATAATGTTATATTTTAAATAACATTGCAGACATATATAACACTTAATATCTATCATTACATGAATGATATATATATATACTTTAAATTAAGGTTATCAGAAAACTTTACAAATAACCAAATAAACAAGACACTAATCATTATGAAACGATAAATATTTGTATTATCGCATAATTAAAATTAAAACTTTTTATTGAACTAAGTTTAAGTCAAAATTAAATAAAATTTATTATGATTCTAAAACAAGAGTCAGTAAAACAATGTTCTAGATAATTCCGGTTTTATTTTTACTCACAGTAACCCAACCCAAAAAGTATATTGTTTCTTAATTTCACAGTCTCTATAAGTAAATACGTGTAAATCATTTTAAATTGATTTAAATATATTTTTATTTAAGTCTACATTTTTAAAAGTCAATCGTGGTTTCTCAATTAAAACTAATTTCTTGTTCGGTTAAAACTTGATAAGTACTTCGCGATTAATCTTTTACTTACATTTAATATATGTGTATAAGTAAATCAAAGCACAAAAAGTACTTTGTTCTTAACGGTCTGGAAACGATCCTATCCTACGGTTACGTTCAAGTAACCTTTGATTCAAGTACGTTTATTTATTGGTTTCTCCGTGTACAGTTGACTTATGTTTAGGTTAGTATTACATGAATTAACTTTATTTTGCTATGTCCTGTCAATAGAACACAGAAGATTTGTTTGAAATTCAGTAGAAAGAGAATATTCTAATGTTACTTAACTATCAAAGGTTGAAAAGGCCCTTATCATGCCTTTGGGATAAAAATTAAGCCATAAAATTAATTAATTAATAAGTAGCCTTAATTAATTTCAAACCGAAACAGAAGATTATATATTTTTACATTAGGTTGGAAATTAAGATTGAATAATATTAATTCAAACAATATAGACAAAACAAATAATAAATAGTGATACTTAAAATGAAAATAAATATTTATTTTTCTTCAACGTAAATACATTAATTATTAAATTGACAAAAAAATAAATAAATTTTTTTTCTAAATAAGAAATAATATAGATATAATATTTGCATATTCCTATTATGAATTAAATTTAATTATTTTTTGTATTGATTTATTGTTCATAAATTATAAATGAAAAATTATAAGTTTTAACAAATAAAGGTTTTTATTTTAAATAAAATTTATTTTATTTAATAAAATTTATATTTTAAATGTAATTTAGGTTTTTATTTTAATAAAGCCTAATAAAATAGTTTTTCTCTTATATAACATAAATAATAAAAAAAAAACATCAATGGGTGTATACGACAAGTTTTTTACGCATGTGAACCTATTGCTTGACAAATCGATCGTTCATCTCTTTGACCCCTCTTTAAAAAACCACAAAGTTTTCCCAAATTCTCTCAATGCTTTTATCTCAACCGTTGTTGGAGTTTGTGAAGAGACTAT